ACTTCTCTGTTTAACGAAGAGCCAGTCTAATGCCCATTCAAATACAGCAGCAGGCCTGTTTAATGAAGAGCATGGCTAATGCCCATTCAAATACAGCAGCAGGCCTGTTCCCTCACCTCTTTTTTCATGGCTCGCTTCTCACGCATCTTCTCATATTCTTCTTGGGTCTTCTGGTAAGAAGTCTTTCTTCTCATTTTCTTTTTATTCAGTGTACTTGTAAAAATAAACTTATTGTTAAAAACTAGGCACCTGTTGTAACCCTCACTGTATCTTTAAATGTCTTAAAATCATCATTATCTTGATGTGCAATTAATAATAAGACAATAATAACAAGACAAACACTGAATCCAAATAATGTCAACCTGACATACCTGCTGGGTTCAACAGATGCTGAATGAGCTGCTGTAGGGAGACTGTCATCCGTTTGGCGAGATGGGGGCTCTGGATGAACTGGGGCTCTGGATGCCTTGGATGCATCTTCAGCGAAGTCTTCCTCAGAAACAGCTGCCTGGCCTTTCCTCCTTTTCAGTCTGTTCATTTCCTCTTCATTTTTCAGTTTTTCGGCTTCCGCCAGGTACAGATGCTTTAGGTGGTCTGGATACTGATCTTGAAACTGTGTTTTGGTCTCCGAAGTGCGCCGCTCCTTACGGAGGAGCTTTTTGTACTCATACTGCATTTTTTGTTTCCTTTTAAAAGCAAAACCCTGTCCTGAGAAACGACATTGTTTGGATCAGCCATTGCAGAAAACTCAGATCGTAATCCTAGGTATGCTGTGCATCATATCAACTGTTACACTTAATACAGAGACAAATTCTCTGAAACGCCTTTGGAGACGGCTTATGGTAGAGAAATGAACATTCATTTCATGGGTAACAGCTCTGGTAGACATTCCTGCAGTCAGCATGCCAATTGCACGCTCCCTCAAACGTTGCGACATCTGTGGCATTGTGCTGTGTGATCAAACTGCACATTTCAGGGAGGCCTTTTATTGTGGGCAGTCACACCTGTGCGATATTCATGCTGTCTAATCAGCACCCTGATATGCCACACCTGTGAGGTGGGATGGATTATGTCGGCAAAGGAGAAGTGCTCACTAACACAGATTTAGACAGATTTGTGAACAATATTTGAGAGTAATGGGTCTTTTGTATATGTAGAAAATGTTTCAGATCTTTGAGTTTAGCTCATGGAAAATGGGAGCAAAACCGAAAGTGTCGCGTTTATATTTTTGTTCAGTGTATATTTATTACCAATCACGTGATCTCGATGCCAGTTCTACGAATAGGTAAAGGCAATAGTTTAAGTAAGAGTAGGAGCCAGGTACAGGAATGCAAACATAATGGAGAAGAATAAGCGGACAAAAACATCACTTAGCAATTAGACACCTTATTTAGAATACCACGGCCATTATTTTTACGTTAAAAAAACCTAAAAAAAAACTTCAAACCAAATGCAAATTAACTACGAAAGGCAATACGCACCTTTTTGTATACTACCGTCGAAGACATTGTGCTCGGGAACCCATTTACGCTTATTTTTAGCAAAAACGCGTCGTTCCCTATTTGTGTCATTCTTTTTGCTACCTTTCGAAAACGACTTCCCTTGATTTTTCATATTACGATTTATCGGGGCCATTGGCTTATCTAACGTACTAGCAGACTTCAAAACCCGCCCTTACAAGTATCTGTAATCAACGTGGGTCCATATGGTCGCATATTCATTACGTAAGAGCTTGAACTGTCGCGTTTAAATAGTGAAATGACCCTCGTTTCAGACATTGTAATCAAATTTTGAAATTTTAAAGCAATAATTCATTCTAATGAAGGTGGATTTTATTGTTGTGAAGAAAGAGTGGTCTTTATACGAATAACGTGCATTCGCAACTACGAATAGAAATCCGTCTGGAGTGCTGTGTGAAAATGTAAGAATCTGATCTTGATTACTTACGTCTTAACAATGAGACGGGGAGGACAATATTTACAGGAAAGTAGGAAAGGTGTGCGTGGAAGATGTCTTCGCTGAGCGCATTAAACACGTCTATCGATAGTATTAAAAGAGCAATAGATGCTATTAAAGATTTTCTCAGCATCGCTCTATGCATTGCTAATGCCCATACGGTCGACTTTTACACCCGCGATTTGTGGAACGAGTTAGTTGCCGTGCCGGCTGACAGTGTTTTATCAGTTATTGTTGATTCCACTGGCCAGAGGAGGGCGCCATCCGGTAAGTAAGACGAGATCCGTTCTCATTTCACGTTTCATTTGGATGTTTCAGTGCAATGCGTAATGTTTATTCATGTCATTAAAATATTATGTGATATATTCTGCTCTCCAGTGACACGTCTTTACACCTAGTAAAAACCTGCCATGCAATATTATTGAGTAGGAGCTCATTTAAAGAAAAGGTCTCCACATGGACACATGCGTGAATATGATTTCTGTTTGAGGATTGCGAATAATGTGTTAATAATGTTAAATTCAGGAACCAGCATTTCACATGTAGACTTTTTTCCCCAGCTGAAATCTTTCCAGGAAGACACAGCAGTTCCTACGGCTTCAGTAGCGACACCAGGCGCTTGGAGGATGTGGATGCTCTTCTGGATGCAGCCAGAACACACTCCCTTCCTGCGCTCAGCGTCTGTGTGCCCCTGCCAGAGTTACTGAAGGCTTTACCTGTCCAATATGACTCTGCCCTGCCTGAGAATGGTCAGTGCAGTCTAACATTTATTAAATAAATGTGAAGTAGCTGTTATCTGATACTTTTATGCCTAATGCGTTCTTAGTGCAATGCTCTATTTGTTGAGCTTCAGTTATTTAATAAGTAAGAACATCTATGCAGACTTTGCACAGGCACTGATCATCTGTGAAATGGAGGGTAACATGAAGATTACAGCATTTTTATTGACTATCAGGCTTTGACATTAGACAGCAGGGTCTGAATCTCACCCCCCTCCCGCTCCTGGAGAAGCCATCAGTTATTAGCAGCTCACATCAGCCCCTTCTTGCTGTAGCCTGGAAGGCGTAAAAACAGATCTTGTGCTCTTTCCTCATCCTCCCGGGCCGTCGTTTGTTCCCACACACTGTGGCGTTTGACATTTATGAGCCGCGAACATCTTTGAAAATGTCGCTCTGGGTCTCGCAAATGAATCCAGGTGTGATTTCAGATGTGAGGCTGGAGCCGGATGAGTTTATGAACTCCAAGAAGTCTCATGAGGTTCAGATCATGGCTGGAGTTGTGGCCGGACTAGCGGACTGCTGCTGTGTCCGACAGGTACGAGACGCCTTCACCACCGGATGTACTGTGCACTGTGTGATGCGTGCAGTTATTTCAGCTTTAGCCTTTTAATACTTTTATTATTTAATGATTTTACTGTTTTTGGTTTGGAAGACTTTGTGTTATTTAAAGGTGACAATAATGGACACATGTCGAGTGGAAGTGAGGTAATTTCTTTTGCAGCTCTAGTCTTAACATCGACATATGCTGTGAGTCATTGCAGGGCTCGGCGTGGTGAGTGTCATATTTCTGCAAGCCATATGTTTCTGTGCTGTGATACAGGGGTCTGCCTGAGTGGTATATCACCTTTGTTTAATTGAGATTAATGTGAATACAAACTGTAATCTGTTCTCTCTCTCCCCCCCCCTCTCCCCCCCTTTCTCTCTTCCCCTCACACTCTCTCTCTCTTCCCCTCACACCCTCTCTCCCTCTCTCTCTCTCTCTCTCTCGCGGGACAGGTCATTGACGTCGGCTCCGGAAAGGGCTACCTCTGCTCCTTTCTATCCATGCAGTACGGCCTCAAGGTTTTCGGCATCGATGCCTCCAGCACAAACACCCACGGGGCCTGGGAGAGGAACAGGAAGCTGAAGAAGTACTCTAAGGCCTATCAGAGGCACGGCCGACGGAGAGCCTTGGCCTCCGTGCCCAGCAGCGGAGCGGGAGATGAGGCCCGGGAGGAGGAGAGCATCCTGTCAGCCGGGAGCGGCCCGTCAGCCAACCCGGAGGCTGTCTCAGGCGGATCGCTGCCGGAAGCCTTCGGCCCCAGCCTGGAGGACCCATTCCTGGGCCTCCTCTCTCCAGAGGCTGTGGAGCCCCCCGTGTCCCGTGTGCCCCCCTGTGAGCTGACCAATGAGGAGAGGGAGAGGAGGAAGCGAGAGAACCTGGAGAGGAAGGCGCAGAGCGTGAGGGACGACGGCCTTTACTCCCCGGTGACCTCATACGTCACCGCGGAAACAGAGCTGCGAGACATTATCACAGAACTGGAGGTGATTTTTCCTTTCTCAAGTATTACTCTGTTTATTTAACAAATTAATGTTGCAAAACCATTAGTTGTGTAATATGCTTTACATGTTATTAATACTTCAGCATTTCCCTCTGTTTTCCTGTAACTTGTGTGTCCAGCTGTTGACACAGTTAAACCTCCCTCTTGAGGTTGGCCAAAGGCTGCACGTGTAGAAAACCCCTTTGGTTTGAGCAGATGTGCAAGCAGTCACCGGCCGCCAATCTGAGCAAGGAAATGCACGGCCTCTGTGGACTGTGTGTATTGCGAAATAATATTTCAGTATTATGGGCCCTTAAAAGTGAAATGCTTCTAAGAATTCCCTAATAAAGCTAAAAGCAGATATCGACCATTGAATGGATTCCATTCACATGCTCTGGAACCATTGTGACATGATGAGGTGTTATTACACAGCCACACCTCCAGGGGGCCTCATTAGCATCAGTCTACAACAAATTGCAGTAGTTTTTAAAGATTTTATTTGCACCTTCATTTAGGGCATTGTTTATAATTAGAAATTAGTAATTTTATTTATTAATAGATTTCATTTTCTTATTTGCATAAATACACTTTATTTTTAAAGCACCTCTGATTCTGCCATTCACTTTTTATAAACTCAAGATCAGCAGAATGTTTTATATACTAATCGGTAATGCTTGTTTTCGGACGTACATGGGATACTGTGCACTGTTTAACATCAGTGCCCGTTTCTCCTAACGATTAACGCTCGTCTGACGCGGCCCTCCTTCCTTGCCAGGATGCGGTGCTCGTCGGGCTGCACACATGCGGCGACCTGGCGCCCAGCACTCTGCGCATGTTCGCGGCCAAACAGGAGCTGCGCGCGCTGTGCAGTGTGTCGTGTTGTTACCATCTCTTATCAGAGGAGTTCGATCACCCCGCCGGAGGTAAGGCTCCCCTAGCTCCCCCCCCCCCTCGTTCCCAGATCCCCAGAGCTTCTCCCCCGCTGCGGACCCAGCTGCACTCCGCGGCGACCCCTCCCCGGGTCCTGTGTACATGACGAGCCGCAGACCTTAGCTTCCCGCTTCAGCAGTCTGCCTTACAGCATCATTTGGGATTCCTAATTTCCTCGCCTGTGGTTTGGCAGTGAAGCAGCTTGAGGTCACTATCAAACTAAACAGTGGGGAGGATTTTCCCAGTCCTGGGGTCTGAGCAGGGCCGTAGGAACCGAGTCGCCCCCCCCCCCCAATATTTAATTTGGCTTCATTCACCCCCCCCCCAAATAAGCAGAACGTTATGTTTAAATTATTTAAGATGTGTCCCCCTGAACGCTGTCCTACGCCACAGCGTCTGAGGTCCCTGCTGTATACACTGTTCCTACAGCATTTTCACTATGTACAAGAACCAGTATTATTTAATTAGATATTTTATTCATTGTATGGTTGGCTTCCAAACATTTTAATAACCGAAGGATTATTTTCAGTAAAAGCCTGCTGGCTTGTTTGAGAGAAGAACCAAATTAATATAATATAAAGTAGCCTAAACACATGTTTTAGGACTGTTCCCTTTTAATATGTGAAATCAGGTTTTTTAATTTTATTTTGGAATTTTTTAACAGAACAGTAAGGCTTAATTATTTGGCAGTTAAGAAAGCGAGCATGATGGGTTCACTGGGCCTGGATATATGGTCTGAAATAAAAGGATTTAATGCTTCTCAAAACGTATGAGCACATCATCACCGACTGTAGCCAGGAGCACATTACACCTGTACTGAAGAGTGTTTGAAAGTTCTACTCTGATTTATGATGTTCATGTTAACAGCGAACCTCTTCCTGCTGACAGTTCGTTATCAGATCAAAGATGAACCGAAGTTAAAAACAAACTAGATCCTTTTCCTGAAGGACTCTAACAGATGAAAGGTCCATTTCCAGTGTGCAGAGTGGGACGTCCTTCTGGTGTGTCTGGTACTGTCTGTCCTCACAGTGCAAGGCAAGTTTATTTATATAACACATTTTCAAACACAGGGATAACTCAAAGTGCTTTATATAAAATAAGATCGGGTAATAGCAATCAATAAATGGAAAATTAAAAAGATACAAGACAATTAAAATAAGAATAAAAGAAAAAGCATCAACAGTGATTAGCAGCGCTGATCGAAGGCGCTGGTTTTAAAGGTGGCAGCGCCCTCCCGGGCAGGGGGGGGTTCCTGCAGCCCTCACCGCTGCTCATGCAGTTGTTCGCCTTCTCCCCTGGCGACTACTGGTGCTGGTTCAGTTACCAGTTCAGATTGAAAAAGGCTGTTGTGAAGAAGGACACTAAAACTATTTTTCCTGAGTTCCTAGACAAAACACGAAACGGTCCATTGCCCGACGGGTGGGTTCGTGAAATTGCTGTATATCAGCATCTGGACGGTGAGGGTTATCCAGGAATCAATGCTGTGCTCTGGGCACATCACAGCTCGTATAAACCCCGAAAAGCGATCGGGGGAGAGACACGCATCAGAGGAGCTGGCGTGGGTCACATCCGAGCGCATCACAGCTCGTATAAACCCCGAAAAGCGATCGGGGGAGAGACACGCATCAGAGGAGCTGGCGTGGGTCACATCCGAGTGCATCACAGCTCGTATGAACCCCAAAAAGCGATCGGGGGAGAGACACGCATCAGAGGAGCTGGCGTGGGTGACCTCCAACTGCGATTGGTTGTGTGACATGCATTAAGTCCCGTTTCTCGTTTTAATGCCCCAGTATGTACTGTCAGCACACTGCAGAAAGACCGCACATAAGCCCAAAGCAGATTTTAGCAAAACTGTAATCAAAGTCAGCCACACATTTCTCCCTGAACTTTTCTGTAGTCTTTGCCAGACCAGAGTCTGATAATTAATTTAACGAATCTGCCTCCCTGCCAGTTAAAACAGTCCTGGATCAGCGTGGTTTTTAATATAAATATTTTTCCTGCTGGGAGCAGATTTCCGGGTCAGTGTGATAAAGGGGGCCTGTATGGAACACTGGCTTTATTTAGTCTGTCAATTTTCACACTGTTTCGTTTTGGAAAGTCACAGTTACTGTAAGACCAGATCTGATCAGACTGTATTCGTCAAAGCTGAAGACTGATCTTTGCACTGTCATATTCAGACTCTGCAGAAGCTTCAGCTCCGTATCCTCGCCTCGATCTTCTGACCTGTGTGCAGCTTCACAAACCCCAACACAATGAAGGGCTGTGAACCGGAAATAAAATTTGCCCCCTTACAGATTTACATGCCTTACCAACGAGGGAAATGCAAGAATTACGGTGTCAAACAAAATCACGTCATCTGCATATGCTACCTTACAGAGTCGGTGAGATTTACTGTAAGCTTTATGATAACGGTATTTTCTCAGTGAAACATGGAAAAACGTTCTGTCTGAAGTCAGGAATATTTAGAGATGGAAAAACTATATTTCACTTTTAGTAATGGTTGTGTCCATTGATACTGACTATTGATTCCAAGAAGAAGATATGAAGGTGTTTATTTTTAAAGCTGGCCTCTCACTGACTTCTTAAACTCTCTGCACATTTTAGTTGGCTTCTCTTGGTTCCAGGGTTTAAAAGATGCACCAGTTTTCAACTCTAAAAAAATATTTTATTGCTGTCAAGAGCAGGTTTTACTGCGTGTGAAACTAAGAGATGCGCACTCTGTATTTTTTGCAGAAAAGATGGATAAATGGAAAGAACAGTAAATGGTCATGTTATTGTTAATTTCGAGCACATTAAGCTCTTCACTGGCTAATCTCCAAATCTCTCTGAATAATGAAGGTTTCTGAACCTTTAGCTTTTAGTATTTTTAAATGATGAATTCAGCCGATCTAGGAGGTGGAAATGCCTCGTTTTGAAGATTTTTAGGAAGTTTTGAAAAAGATTAATCTCCTCTTCAGAACTATGTTCTCTTTGTGTTAAAAACCATTAGTAGCTAAATGATGTAGAAGTCAGTCTTACAGTACAGTACTGCTGAAGTGTTACAAAATTGTTACTTGTTACTCTAATACAGGTAAACTGATGACCCAAAACCTACCTCCTAAATTAAAATACAGTGTTGAATATGATGTGTACAAAAAAAGAAAATTAAAATCACTCATAATCCTTTTTACCTGCCAGTTTAAGAATATATATAGCACGCCTCAACCGCACGTGAATTTGCTGTGCACTAATTACTTAACAGGGACAACTTCTGCCACTTCATAAAACCGGAAGAGTACCTTTTCTTTAAACCACTCAGCTATAAAAAATGAAAACTGAAAAGCTGTTGCATGAGTCTGCTTATGCGGCGTGTTTTTTCGGACGGGCCCTCCAACACAAACAGCTCTTTCGGTCACCCCACCGGCCCCCTGATCGTATAATGCATCCTCTAGGTGAATAAAACCTTCACAGAAGCTTTATCGAGAAGCTGAGTGGGATTTAAATATCAGATCGTGTTTTAAAGGCTTTGGTGGAAACGTGCCTTCGAAATGTTTCTGGCAGCGAGGGTGGAAAAAGCATTTAATCCCAAAAAGCACTGTATTGGGAAATTCACGGCACGGTGTCTGAGTTCGTGGTGTCCTGATTTTAGAAACTGGAAAACTGCACTAAGAATGGTCTCAGGTCGCCTTGTTTTAACAGGGATTTCACTCCGAGGCAGAGAGGAGATTGTAGGGGATTTTAGGTTTGGGAGAGTCCCCAGAGCTAAGGGCCAACTTGTTTTATTCAGGAAGCCGACCGTGCACGGCGATTGTGAATGTCAGGCAGCCGCCAGCTGAATACAAATGGAATAAGACCGTAATCGCATTATGTGAGCGACTGGCACGCAGCGGAAGTTAGCGTAGGGGACGCATTGTGCTTGTTTGCCAGCCTTGTAGGCTTTGGACCATCTTCATGCGGGTGCCCATGTAAACTCTCCGTCTGCATGGGACCATCTTCATGCGGGTGCCCATGTAAACTCTCCGTCTGCATGGGACCATCTTCATGCGGGTGCCCATGTAAACTCTCCGTCTGCATGGGACCATCTTCATGCGGGTGCCCATGTAAACTCTCCGTCTG